GAGTGTGTGTGTGTGTGTGTGTGTGAGTGAGTGTGAGTGTGTGTGTGTGTGTGTGTGTGTGTGCTGCCTTATATTAAACTACTTTAAATTACTTTTTTCACATCAATCTATACTCCTTACACCATAATGACAAAGCAAATAACTGATTTCTGACAACTTTGCAAATTTATTAAAAATAAAACTGAAATAAGTGCATTGCATAAGTATTCATACCCTAAAAAATGTCTATATATAAAAGGATTCACAAATGTAAAGTCTAAATCCAGTAGTTCTTAACTTTCTTATTTTTTATTGTAAGTTTTCATGTTTATTTTTAATCACTATTATGTAAAGCACTTTGGAAATCATGTAACAAGTTTATTTTAAATAATGAACTAAATAATGTCCATTTCTCTTCTGTGTTCGTTTTCATTTGTTTTTTTGTGGTTTGCCGTAATTTCTGTATGAAGGCTTTTATTTAAAGGACTGTAATATTCACAAAGCACAAATTTCTGCCCAGTCTAAGTCCAGTACTTCTTATTTTTTATTATTTTCTTTAATTTATGTAAAGCGTTCTGAATTACTACTGAATTACTCTGAATTACTATTATGAATGAATAAATGAATATACTCGCCTTGTCAGTAAAGACCCTGATGATTATGTATCTATGAAATCATTAAAATATGATCACTCACACAAAATTCACTTTTACATGCTGTTTGCATTTAAATGTGTGTTAGCAGTGTGCATGTCTCTTTAAATGCTCATTAGCATTTAAAGAGACATGCACCGAAACGGCTCGCTGTGAACAGAGCTGTTTTTGACCAGGTAAAAAGGTGTTGTTTTACACGACCATTGAGGGATTTTAACCAAAGTATGTCGCAGATATTTCACCAAGGCCCTAAAGAATCATACCAACTTGTGGAAAACGGGCATGCGATGTCCGCTTTAAAGGTACAGAAGCAGAAAGAGCTCTTCTCCTCCTCTCACCTGACACTCAAACTTGAGTTTCTGCTCTTTCTGGAAGGCTAGTGTGCTGGTGAGAACCGTCGATGTGTAACAGAAACAGTGCTGGATCACGTGCTCATCCGCCTCCATGTACCTGAAAACACACCACAAACAAACACCACTTTAATGCGCATCAACACACACAAACTAAAGCAGGAGTCACTGCAAGAGGCCAAACTAAAGATTATATGAGCATTATATGAGCACACACTATATTTTACATTTATTTTATAAGAGATCAGTGTTATTTTAGCATGACTGATATACTGTTGGAATTTGTGTTAATATTTTGAATTAGTTTTTATTTTTATATTTTAATTTTAGTTAAAGTTTTAGTAATTTTGTTGTGTATTTTTGTCATTTTTATTTTAAATGTCTCTCTCTCTCTCTCTCACTCTCTCTATATATATATATATAATAAAACTTAATAAATAAAAAATTACATATATATATATATATATATATATATATATATATGTATAATCTAAAATAAAACAACTAAAAATGTTTATATATATATATTTATTTATTTATTAATAATAATTGATTTACTTTTAGTTATTTTAGTATTTCACGTTAAATTAAATGAGAAATGTTTACACTGAAATAGATTTACTATATAAAATGTTATATTTTATTTCAGTTTATGTTCATTTTATTTCAAGTACCATTTTTAATTTTTGATGGTTTTAGCTGACTATAATAACTTTTTTGCAACCCTGTTATCAACACTTGGGATGTGTGAAAACCATTTAAAACCATAATTTATGTAAAATTGTTACAGCAATAAACATTACATAAACATCCAATTAAACCTATCAATGAACATCTATGTTAAAAATGTTGAAATAACATAAAAAATAAGACAGAATGATCTTACATAAAGCTGTTTGGGACTAAATGTTGGATTTTAAAAAACCTAAAAGATTTAAAAAATTAAACATTTGTATAAATATAGTATATCTGATGCTTAATGCGGGACACCAAATGAAGTTCACTCTTTTAGTTCGGTTTGTTATTCATATGATACTGCTAAAGAATCAATCAAAACAAGAGAGATATTTGTAGAGAAATAATAAGCAATAACCATCACTGAACACATAATCTATTGTTCTTTCACAGATCAGTAACTTTGAGCCGCTGGTGAATCCGACCCATCTGACTAACTACAGAAAACCATCCATCAAACATTTAATAAATTCAAGAATAATGATCAGTGAATAATATCGCAGCAACACACAAACCACAGCGTTTTTATGTGAAATATGAAAAGAGCGAGAGAACGAGATGAGAGAAGCTCAATATCGAATATCAAATGGTCAGATCTGGCTGTGTAGAATTTCATTTCCTTTATCTCTATTTGAGACGTCACGCTTCAGGCCAGACGTCTCGAAACTGATGTGTGCTTTAATCTCTTCATTAAACCATCAGTTTCAGATTCATCCAGCAGTCTGTATACACACACCACCAGTCCAAAGTCAAAATCATTAGGATGTTTAGTGTTTCTGGAAGAAGTGGAATCCATGATACACTACAGTTCAGAAGCTTGGTTTGAGCAAAGATGCAACAAAGAGTCCATAATCCATAATAAGGCTTCCTCCAGTGAAAAAGTGTTCTGGTGTGAATCAGGAGAGAAATCTGCACAGATCAAGCAGCATTTAAACAGCTCTAAACTAATATGTGGCTGGGTTTTGATGTGAGAGACAACAGCAGATGCACTTTTTCACTGGAGGAAGTGTTATTATGGATTATGGACTCTATGTATTTTAGTTAAAAGCGTCTTAATGCTGGATTAGTTTCAGTTTTTGTCTTCTCCAGATGTTAACTGATGGACTGGAGTGCTGTGGATTACTTGTGGATTATTGTGATGTTTTTATCAGCTGTTTGGACTCTCATTCTGACGGCACCCATTCACTGCAGAGCATCCATTGCTGAGACACTGA